GTGGTACTTGGATGTTTCTGTCTCCTTATTTTCCTTTTTTAATAGAGGTTTTTGCAAACCTCTATTTACCATTCATCCACCAACACATTCCCTCTCTCTCTCTCTCTCTCTCTCTCTCTCTCTCTCTCTCTCTCCCTCCCTCCCTCCCTCCCTCTCTCCCTCTCCCACTCTCTCCATACACACACACACACACACACACCGGTATGCACATGTATCAGCTCTCCTGCAGGAGCTGCATTGGCTGCCAATTTGCTTCTGGGTGCAATTCAAGGTGCTGGTTGTCACCTTTAAAGCCCTTCATGGCTTGGATCTAGGTTATCTGAGGAAACATCTCTTGCCAGTGACATCTACCCGACCCATTAGAGTGAGGTGGTAGGGAATGCTGTGGGCCCCACTCCCTGAGGAAGATACACCTGGTGGGACCTAGAAGAAGGGCCTTCTCTGGGGTGGCTCCATCTCTCTGGAACATCATTTCCCCAGAGATTAGAATGGCCCCCTCATTAATACTATTCTGAAAGGCACTGAAGACCTGGTTTTGCCAGTGGGCCTGGGGAACCCAGAGAGGGAAGGAACCCATCAAATGGCTAGTGTGACCCGCTGTCGTCGGGGGGGGGGGTATAGGTGGGAGTTGGTTTTTGGTTTTTTTTTGTTTTTTCCCAAATTTGGTTCTATTGTACTTTACTAATTTATTTGATTCTTTTTGTTAGTTCTTATTGTTTTTATTTTTATTTTTTGTTTTAAATATGATTTTACATTGTGTAAGCCGCTTTGGGTCGCCATGGGCGAATAGGCGGCAATATAAATCAAATAAATAAATGTGTGTGTGTGTGTGTGTGTGTAATCATATGCATATGTATACACACACACACACACACACACATACATACACACATACATACAGAGACAGAGAGAGACAGAGACAGAATGTGTGCATGTGTGTGTGTGTGTGTATGTATGTATGTATACGATAGAGAGAGAGAGAGAGAGAGAGAGAGAGATGCACAGAGAGAAAGAGAAAGAGAGAGAGTGGGGGGGGAGGGAGGGAGGGAGAGAGAGAGACTGACTGTATATTCTCCATAGTTAAGTTCAATACTATACAATACTATCAGAATTGCATCTTTATTCCAGTTTGACCAAAACTTTTTTCACTGCTGTAATACATCTCACTAAATTATAATATTTCTTGTAATTTTTCTGAGATTATACCTACTATGAAAATTTGTAGTTTCATTTCAGATTGAAATTGCAAGATTTTCTACATTATACGGTGTATGCCATTCTAGTTCATTGCAGGTTTTTTACATGACCACTATCAATGATAAAACATTCCTTCTGTCTCATGAGATGCCATGACAGTTGATGAATTTAGTGTTATGTTTTAAAATATTCAAATAGGGGGGGGGGGGGTTGCATGCCCCCATTTTCAGTGGACTGTAGAATTCTTAACATTTCTGAGTCTGGAGTAGCTTCCTTCATTTATCTTTCCTTCTTTTTCTTTCTTTCCTTTATATTTCTCCTACTTTTTTCACTTTTTCCTTTCCTTTTAATTTTTCTCTCTCTTCCTTTTCATTGTTTTTCTTTTTTTGCACAGCATTAAAAGCATTAGAAATATTCATTAGGTCACCTCCACACCATAAAGTCTCTCTCTCTAAAGGCACCCTGGGCACTTTTACATCACGCTTTTCTCCACTCCCAGATTCATCCGAAGAGTTCTGAAGATGTCTATAAAATTATTTTCACTCCTGTTAGCCTCAGAACACTAAAAAGAGCCAGGCAACAGAATAATGCAATCAACGCTGCCTCCCACTGACCAAAAATATATATTGTAGCCCTCCTTGCTATCTACAATATTTTCATTAATGCTGGCTGCTTTTGTCTCATTCTTTTACCAAAACAAAAACAAAAAATGTACATCTGAACTCTTGGTATAAGTGGAAAGCTTCTTCGCCATTAAGGCATTACATTTCCTCTATAGAAATCCTCATTGAAAGTTGTTATACATAACATTTTAGTTTTGCAGGTGACTGGTGTCCTGACCACGGTTCTCCATGACAGCGTAGAGCCCCTTTCTGAAGGGGGGGGGGAGAGAAAATAATAGCATATTGGAGCCCAGCGATCAATAGGTGGAATGAGGCAAGATTTTGGTGCAAAGAAAATCAAGGTAAGTGCTTTTTTCAGGAATTGTGAACCTGATTAGCAACAGACTAGAAGATTAATTTCAGGCACTCTCATAAATTGTCTGGGAAATCTACCACAGAGGTTGAAGTCGGGTGGCGGGAGGCAGTGTAGACAAGAGTTCCTGTAAATTAGTAAATAGGATAACTCAAGGGATAACTATTGTGTATGAAACCATGTCACAAATACTGTTTTTTAAATTTTTTTGGTATAGTTCTGCAAAAGGACATAATCAGTGGTGGGATTCAAAAAAATTTACTATTGGTTCTGTGGCCGTGGCTTGGTGGGTGTGTCAGGGGAAGGATACTGTAAAATCTCCATTCCTTTCCCATTCCTGGGAGAAAGTTACCACCGGTTCTCTGAACTACTAAAAATTTCCGCTACCGGTTCTCCAGAACTGGCCAGAACCTGCTGAAATAGAATACTTTATTAGAATACTTTATTGGCCAAGTGTGATTGGACACACAAGGAATTTGACTTGGTGTAAATAATCTCAGTATACATAAAAGAAAAGATATATTCGTCAAGAATCGAGAATCATAATACCACCTCTGTTCTTGATCTATTTTACTTGCTTTTTTTTTTTTTACCCTGACCAGTTTAGATTTTACAGTTAGTAAAACTAGTAAAACTAGTTTCTGAATTATCAGGGGGGAAAAAAGCCCCGAGAACTGATTTAAATATCTAAAGCAAGTTGACTATAATAAGGGGCAAGAAACTGAACCAAAACATCTGCCCAGAGTGCCAGCTACTGTCATGTGCACGTGCAGAAGGACGTAGTAGAAAAAGAATGTAAAATGCAAATTGTTATACATAACAACGAATTTTTAAAAAGCATGGGTTGAATAAGAAGAAGGATGTCCAATCCTAAAGGTCTGAAGGCAATTCAACCTTCAGTGATAAATTAACTCAATTAGTTTCATGAGACTTATTTTATAAAAATCAATGTATAGTGAATGATGAGAACACAAAATATAGATAGGAAGACACTCCTTTTTACAAACAATTATTTCCCATGTCCTATTCTCTTGTCTCTTCCTTTAGATTAGGAAGAATGCTTCAAAGTTCAAATGCTCAATTTTATGATTATTTTTATGAAGCTTTTAAGATAAAAAAGGCCCTAAAATCTAGCCTGATCGTTGAACTCATGCTATAACTTACTCAAGAAACTAAAGAGGTCTGTGGCTTGAATGTTGTGACTCAGCCAGGGTGAAAAGAATGGAATGGTTGATTGAATGATCCGTGCATGGTATATTGAGCCAAACTGGAAATATCCTAGAAATAAATTTAGCAGAGATAATCAAACAAATACAGGGGTTTGGGAATCAGTTTGCCTGACGAAATACTCATGTTTCATTAGGCACAAAATTTTATATAAACATATTCTGCTTTCCTTGGGCCAATTTTAATACAGATGCATCTGAAAGATGGAATTTACATAGAGATCAGCCTGCTAACTGTAGGAGATATGCTGTATTCTTGGTGCTAAGTTAATGGGCAAATCCCACACAAAGAACTATATGATTGGTAAGTGTGTATGTGTATTCCTAAAGTCCAATTGGAATCAACAGAAGCAGCACAATGCTGCAACGTTATAAGTCATAAAATTGAAACTTGGTAATTTAAACTAAGTGCATTTGCACTGGAAGGAAAACAATTTGACTGCTCCCATAAGGTGTGATTATGAAAATGCATCAGCAAAGCTGGTAGGTGTAGATTCTCCATGGAAAGACCCCCAGATCAAAATATAGCTTCCTTCAAAGAGCAGAACTGAGAAAGTGTCTACTTTCTGCAAGTTTACTGGAGCAGATTCTGCCCTGTAGATGCTCCTTTTGAAAAAAGAATCATTCTAGGGGTGATTGGCCTCAAATGAAGTTTGGAACACTGCCTATGTTTGCTGCAGCATCAGTTTAAAAACAGATGGGGTGGGGGGGAGAAAGAAAAAGAGATAAGAAGAAATCTACAGAAAATGTGACAATGAAAATATGAAATCAGTTTGGCTCAGTACAGCAGGAAGAGGCATCCAGCAAGAAGGGAAGAGGTGGATCAAACCACAGCAACAACCTAACAACAGTAAATAGATATTTTTATAAAAGTATAAATTATGAAAACTTTTAAGCATGAAAACTTTAATTCAGTACTCATTTTGCATCAGAATTATATTATTTTTTTTCTTTTTCTTTTGTAAACCTAACACCAAATTATCCCCAAACACCTTCGGCCAAGCATGACCTGAATGACCGAGAATCTCCATAGACACCTTAACATTAATCCCAAAGTCCCCTTTTGTTCATGAAAGGAATCCCGGAACAAGCTTATTGTCAACAGAGGATTCCATGAACAGAGAAGATCAAGGCACTTCTTGCCAATTTGTCTATTTCCTCAAAAGAAGAACCCACGCCCTTTGGCCTGAGTTTAATTGTCTGAGGGGAAAAAAAAACACCACATTTTTTTTTCATTAATGGAGAAAGATAAGATAGGGAATGATGGAAGGCAATGATTTCCTCTAGGCTAACATTCACCTCTTAAATATTATTTTTCAAGAAATATAACACTCAAAGAAAAAAAAAACCCGCTCTCCATTGCACTAGTTTTCCACTTACCAACACACATCGCATTGTCTCCTGGTTCAAAGGGTGGAGGAGACCTTTTTGAACAGCTCAGGGGAACCTGAGACTCAGTGTGTTACACTGTAATACTGGAACACTACCAGTCAAGGTATAGATTCAACCAAATTATTTTGCCCTGTTACTTGTGTATCATTATGCTATTTTAACTTATGTGTGAAAGCTATTATAATTTATTTATTTAAATACTATACTCACAATTTATGAAGGTTTTTAAGACCCACAAATGTTTCAGGTGTTAAACAACCAATTCTGTTATTGGAAAGATCCCTGGAAGGAAAAAAAAATGAAACAACATTAATTATAATTACAACATGAACTCATTTTAATTGATCCAAATTCAGCCTTTAAATAATCCACACTGTAAAAACAAATGTATTTACACATTTTATTAACTCAAATAATATGCTCGCCCATCTCATGAATGCAACTTTGGGGAACTAAAAGCACATTAAAACAACATTACACAATTTTCACGGAATTAAAAAAAAAAACAAGAATGGTTACCAAGAATGAACTCAACAAGGCAGTAGCACAAACTTCTCAAGGGGACATCTGATCTTCGTCCAGAACTTTAGTGCTTTACACAAGGCTCGGAGGGCCCCTCTGATCTGAGGCAGTATGACGTTTCAGAGGACAGCCACTGAACCAGAAATGATGGGTTTCCAAGGTTTCATCAGATGGCATTCTTTATTATTCTTTAATTGAAGGAAACCAGAATTGGCAGGTTGAAAGAACTGGGCAGAGTTGGTCCCACAAATATTCTATGCCATGAAAGCTTTATAAATGACAATCTAAAGCAGCTTGAATTAATTTTATTTATTTATTTATCAAGCATGTATTAGATAACAGATACAAGTATAAACATGATTATTAATACATGAAATGTATTAAAAGGGAGCATTAGGATAGGGACAGTAAGCCTGTTGGTGCGCTTATGCATGCCCCTTAAAGATCTCTTAGGAATGGGGTGAGGTTAACAGTAGACAGTCTAAGGTTAACGCTTTTGTGGTTTGGGGAAGAAATCACAGAGTTGGGTAGAGTATTCCAGGCATTGACCACTCTGTTGCTGAAGTCGTATTTCCTGCAATCGAGTTTGCCTGGGGTAATTCAGAAAAAGAAAAAATGAACCTGGTGGAAACCCTGACATAACTGAATTAGTTCTAGAACCAATTACAGTGTAATTCATTCTTTTGAACTGCAATACCATAATATGAATTAAAATGATCATATTAAAAAGTGGGTATTGCTCTGTAATGAAGATATTTAAAGATAAATATATTATCATGACACTGTGGGCCTATTGGGCAAACAACACAATTAGTAATGATTGTTTAAGTGTGTGTGTGTTTATTCAATTTCTATAGCACTGATTCTTTTAAAGTACTCATAAAGGAGAATTAATTAGATTTTCACTAATTTTTAATTGTTTATGAGTTACAAACCTACAATCAGACAATATGTATGTCACAAACAAGCAAAGTTTGCTATGTGAATCCAATCAGTGAGAATTAGCACCAAGATTTTAATGGTATTCTGCAATTAGCATCTCTAAATTAAATAATGCAAAAAAGTTTATCAGTAAAAATATAGGTTTTTAGTATTCTGCTAAATAATATCTGTTGAGTTCGAAATAATTTCTCTTTAAGGAAAAATAGCATCTATCTAGCACCTGGCCCAGATATTCAAATATTTATATTAACTACCTTCTCACTAAGGATGCATATTCATTAAACAGCTTGCAGATTTATGCTACTTCACGTGTCATGACTACAGCAATTGAATAGCAAAGATTCAAAACCAAGTGCTATTCCCTCCACATACCAAATATGCTATATATTCTCATAGTGAATCATTTGCAGAAATATAAATAAGAAAAAGGGAAATATCATTATGCATCAGATTATTTCTACACATCTCTGAATTCCTTCCTATTTTTCCAGATCAAATCTTATGTCACATAAATCATGTTTTTCTCTTGTAAATGCTTATGTTAGAAATGCTGACTATAAAATTAATCTTGTGAAACCACCAGACACGTGGCCCGTGTCCTGGTGTTGTTTTTTCTGGTAGACACTGTTTTGCATTGATTCACAAGTTCTGCCACTGCAACTACAGCACTGAATTACTGCAATGCTGTCAGCCCATGAGAAGTGTTCCAAATGAAATTGATAATTTTATGAATTTGGCAGCCTGTGCTTTTTCCAACTGATTCACAAAACCTCCTGTCACTTACATATGTCTGCATTACGTTAGCTGCTTACTTTATACTCTGTGGAAAAGATAGGAAAGAATAAGAAACGGTATAGGAAGGAAGGAAGGAAGGAAGGAAGGAAGGAAGGAAGGAAGGAAGGAAGGAAGGAAGGAAGGAAGGAAGGATAAAATAATCTATTTTCTAATCATAATTTATGAGACAATAAGTATTCTCAATGTTTTATAGAAAACTTGTATTAACTCAGTAACAACCTTGCTTTACCATTATAACCAACCAATTCCCTGCCTCTGTAATGTTCCCCACAGGAGTGAAATCTATAGTTCTGTGATAACAAGAAATATTTTTGTACTTAAACATTATAGTGGCTTTTTGCTTTAAGTACACATATTTCAGGATATTTCCTCCAAGTATCTTCAGATTCAAGAGATTCTAATTCAATGGTCTCTGGTTTTCCTCAGTCTCATGCTTGAGAGTAAGCACAACCATTTCATAGCTTTATAGCTTCTCTATTTTTCCCACAAGAGGTCAGGGTTGTGTTATTATAATACATCATCTCCACAGCAGTAAGTTTCAATTGTTACAATTTTCGTATTTTCACATATTTTAATGACTTAAAAGTCACTCCACAGCAGTGTTTCAATTGTTTCAATTTTCATATTTTCACATATTTTGATGACTTAAAAGTCACTCATATTTACAGAGTAGAACATATGTTTAATTGGTGCTAATATCTTGCTATTATTTTCTCATATTTTTTTCACATTTGTAATTCTATAAAATATGTTTGTTAACTTTCTATTTTTGAAGTACAACTTTTGTGCAATCTTTTAATAGGATATAGCCATGCTGAGATATAAACATGTATATATTTAAGTATATGTGCCTATCTTTTGGTGTGAACTATAATTGTACATATAATTGAGAGGCAAAATGTAGTAGATAATATATCCATAAATTTTGATCTACTTTATTATCTAACAAGCCAAGCAAAACAGCATCCTATGTTTCATAACACACTCTTTTTACAGTAATTTTACTTAGTGTAGTATAACAAATACTGTAGTATCTTTATATTCTAATTTTTAGACTATTACTAGATGATCCATGTCCTCTTGGGTCCATCTCAGAAATATTATTTTTTTCTAACAGAGGAACAGAATGACTACACTGATGATGTTACCTAGTTTAGTAATGGAAAATCTGCAAGAAAAAGCCCAGCTCAGAAAGCACTATGGACTCCTCATTTGAACCCTGAGCTACAAATATTCTTTCCTATCAGTAGAATGGCAACAGCTGGGCAAAAAAGCAGTGGGAGCAGGAGTGATTTCCAACTTCCTGCCAGCTTCTCCCTAAGTTTACTTGCATATTCCACCCTTCTTTCCCTATTGAGGTCTTGTTATTCAAGGTGGATATTGTCACGTGGAGGAATTCTAGCAGTAATTAGTGCTTGCCACATGCAGGTGGTTCTCAACAGGTGGATCACATGACCTCAGGACACTGCAACCATCATAAATATGAGTCAGTTGCCAAGCATTTTAATTTTGATCACCAGACCATGGAGATGCTGCAATGTTCATAAGTGTGAAAAATGGTGATATCACTTGTTTGAAAGGTCACTAAATGAACTGTTGTAAGTCGAGGACTACCTGTATTCTCCAGTGGGTTTTCCCTTTCCTCCTTCATCTTCTGTCTCTTCATTCCGTACCTTTCCTTGTGATTCTGGAGATGTGCAGCCCTTTCATTCTCTGGTTCTTCATCTCTCCTCCTCTTTCTTACTACATCCGAACGACGTTTGGGATCATCTCTTGACCATAACATACCCCCTTCTCTTTCTGACATTATTTCATTTGGGTTTAATTTAACCGTTGTTGTTTTTTTACAATATTGTTCATTTCCATTCTCACCTCAAAACAGTTTAGAATTTTGTCAGCTTCTCCACTGAATTGAAAGAAGCTGTCAGAGACATTTTAAAAATAGAATCATGTGACCTCTTGAGAGTTGGGATAGGACCAGACTACCTGATCTTCAGCAGCTGAAGTAGAGGCAATCTACACTCACTTTCAGAGTAGAAAGCAGTTGAAAAAATAAATCAGGATGGGCAAGGACTAAGGTATAGTGGATAATGTATTTGACTAACACCAGAGAGATCCAGTTTCTATTCCATCTGCAACCAAAGCCTTAGTGACTTTCAGCCCAACCTACCTCACAAGATTATTATGAAGGGGATGCCCTGAATTCCTGAATAAAGGTGGGATACACACACACCTATATATATTTTTGTGCCAGAGGGGAGGCATATAAATATTTTTTGTGCCAGAGGGGAGGCATATAAAACAATAAAAATATCTAAGCCTTTCTTCATACATCTTAAAATTACTGCTTCTTTAAGAGTCAGCTGGGGGTCAATTCCTTGTTGCTGGGTAGTGGAGGGAGTGAGGGAGTGTGAGAGTGACAGGGAAACTGTCATAGAACATTCAGAAGAAGCATCATGTCATTGCAGCAGCAGCCTGAAACAGCCACAACTTTTTCAAATTTCATTCCCATAGGAATCACGGATTTTGACCACATTCTATACGTTAGCCCATTTGAGGTACCTTGGTTTTAAAATTGTTGGCCTATTATGTATTCTCTGCCTGGTTAATGATAATGACAATGAAAGATTTAGTATGTATAGATTTAAATTCTTTTGCACTGTCACCTACATCTACAAAAATTTTGGTGATACAAAAATGCTGAACACAGTGGGGTATTTTGGAATGTTCCAAATAGTATTTTTGTAGACTACTTAAAGATAAGAATCCACAAATTCAGTTTAACAGCATATAGTTATAGAGATCCCTAAAAGAACATCACATTTGTTAGATAGTTAGTTAAATAAATATTTTAGGATGCTTATTATGTTATATTGCTGGACCAAATCTTGTGACTGAATCTTAATACTGATGTTAATATCAGTGTTTCAAATTTTAAAATTTTACTGTTATGTTAAAATATTTTAGGGTTTTCTGAATTAACTAATTTTATAGGTACAGTACTTTATCACATTAGATGATCAATTTTTGGAAATATTAATACCACATAAATATTTTTGTTTACAATTTCTTTCATGTAGATTATTGCTATACTATTAGCATGCAACTTTACTCTTATTTTTCTGCACTTTTTTGCACTTAGCTCTATTTAAAATTACTAATGTTAGAAAGGGTAGAAGAAAGAGAAGAACAATCAGCAAATGTATAATTATGAATGGTCAAGGGTGCACTATTGGAAAACTGGCAGGACCAAGTTGAGGATAAATCATCCTGGAGAAAATCTATCTACATAGCCACCAGGAGCCAACACAGACTTAATGGTATATAATCATCATCAATTTTAGATATAAAACTGTAGCATGTACTGTCAATGACCCCCCATAAAGCCTATCCATTCTTCATTTCTTTATTTTTTTCATCTGGACTACATTGTTTTGTCAATATATGTTTATGATACCATCCAGCATATGCTGCAGGTAAACCTAAGTGAGAACACAATTTCTCATATGTTCAATTTCTTGTATGCTTGTAGCAAATATTTATTTAAAATAAATCATGCACAGGGGGAAAAAAAAAATCAAACTGCTATCATACAGTATCCTTTATCTTATAATTGCACGATGATATATTCCCAATTCTCTGGAGACCAAATAGCAATATCAATAGCGGTATAATTTTTAATTTCAGTTGCAATTAATACTTACAGGCGTTTCAGTTCTGAAAGTCCATAGAAGGCTCCTGGTTCAATGTTACTAATTAAATTATTCTTCAAATCTCTGGAGATAACAGAAAAGAAAACCCAATTAACGTCTAGTATACATGAAGCTTTATATTCACAGAAGTAGGAGGATAGAAAACAAAGCTTTGAAACTGCTTCTGCATATATTAAAATCAAAGAAAATATTCTTTTTAAAAATTGTTCCTTTCTCCTCTTACATTAGAATCCCTAATTAGAACTTCCCATCTTTAGTTCACCATCTTTAGGGAAAATATGCTATTAAACTAGCAGGAAATAACCATATGAAGAGTTGCATTGCACTACATCAATACACTACTATAGGTAGTCCTCGACTTACAATTGGTTCATTAGTGATCATTCAAAGTTACAACGGCCCTGAAAAAAATGACTTATGACTTTTTACACTTATGACCGGTACAGCATTCCCATGGTCACGTGATTTACATTTGGATGCTTGACAACTGACTCATATTTATGATAGTTGCAAGGTCCCGGGGTCAAGTGAACACCTTTTGCAACCTTCTGACAAGCAAAGTGAATGGGGAAACCAGATTTACTTAACAACTGTGTTACTAATTTAACAGCTGCAATGATTCACTTAACCAATGTGGCAAGAAAAGTTGTAAAAATAGGGCAAAACATACCAAATTTCTCACCTAGAAACATAAATGTTGGGATCAATTGTAACATTAAATTGGGGACTACCTGTACAATCTGTGTTCCAATCACTAGCACTATGTATAGATTTATGAAGTACAAGATATGCAGGCAAGGTTTCCTCTATTTTTTGACATGCCAAGTAGTTTTGTGCAGCTTTTTCCAAAGTATAAATTTGTGTGCCACAATACAAAAAAAGTAGTTAATTGTAAATACATGTAATAGAGACAGGTTAAAACGTTCACATATTTCTTAGTTAAAGTATAGAAAGTAGAAAGTGGAATACTGTAGCAAGTCACATATGCTTGTAAAGTCATTCCCTCAAATCATTTTTTACTCCTAGCAACTGTCCTGTGCAGTTTTCAGAAATGGCGTGCCACTTCCTTTTCCCCTAGAATTGAGAGAGGGGGACTGGTCCAAAATTAGTCAGTTAATTCATGTCTAAGGCAGGACAATTTCTTAAGTTTGATTTAGAGTAGCCCGATACCACACATAGGCTTCGCTGCATATCTACACCGCAAAGGGGTTGATGAGTAACCATAGATTGCAGATGGCTGCAATTAGGCTGATGCGCACATGTCCCAAATCCCAACTGCGTGTTGTACAGAGGTGTGTGTTCTATGTGATGATTGGTTGGTCTGAATTCCTGTTTTGTGCTGTTTGAATGCCCACTAGCCAGAACATTGCATTTGCTGAAATATAAACAGAACACCTCTGTAATATCCCACAAATGACAGAGGTATATATTTCCTAATGCTGGAGAGGTCTGCTTCAGTTTTAGGTCTGGTGCCTTAAATACTACACTAAATTGAGCCTACACATACCCACATACTTATAGATTATACTGCAAACTCAGTATTCACTGGTAATCGATAATTGGAATCAATATATTGTTAATCATTTTAAATTATTTTTCTTTTTTTAAAAATTTAATATTGTAATGAAGTGTTTTTAAAAAAAAACAGGAAAGAAAAATACACACACCCCACTTTCTTCTTATCCCATTCTTACTTTTCTAAAATGGATTCTGACCTATTTCAAATTGAATTTTTTGTAAAATTAACAATGATCATGGGTAAAATCCAAAACTCAGTAGATGTTTTGAAGGGAAAAATAAGGTGTGGCTCAATTTACAGCAGGCTGATTGCAACTGTATGGCTGGAAAAGTGCAAACACTGTCAAGTGCAAAAGGGATCTCCCCCAAAATTCTGACCCCCTGAGTTTTATGATGCCTAAAATAACTATTTTGGAGTAATTTAGTTTTTACCAAATTTTTATCATGTGTGCAGATTTGACAAGCAGTGCAACACATCTATAGCAGAAAAATCCTCAAAAGATTTTTCAAATTTGATATTAAAAAGAAAAACTACAAAAAAGAACTAAAACTACTTCTGTGAGTGTGAATTAATCCATTCTACCCAAGAGAAATAATTAAGATGATTCACAATATATTACAAACAAATGAAAAATAATGGAAAAAAATCTATCCATATTCAATGGGAGGGATTTTTCTTAGATTTAAATATATTTTACACAACTTTCTTTGCATTGCACTCTGCAAATTTTGTTTTTCAATCTATGTTGAAAGTTAGAAGAGTTTATTCAGTTTACAAAATGCATGTTTAAATCCTATTTTTATAAGGCATGAGACAACAAGATGAAATTCTGAGATTTTTATAAATTCTCTCTGTTACTTACCAAAAGACCTCAGATCTATTTTGGTGAGTGAGTTACAACATTTATAAAAATAAATCAGACTGATTGGTATTATCATTCTGGAGCAGTCTTTCTCAATCTTGACAACTTTAAGATATATAGACTTTAAGATGTCTTATAAAAGTCATCTTAAGTTCACACATCTTAAAGTTGAAAAGGTTGAGAAAAATTGCTTCAAAAATCACAAGATCCCCATTTGCTAACTTAAGGGCCCCTCTAACCATAACTGCTATGATTTTAAAGCCCCCCCCCCCCGTACTATTTTGAGAAAAGAATCATAGTAGAAGGCCCCAAAATGGATATTATAACTCAAAATCAAAAGAAACCTCCAAAGCATAAGTGAGGTCGCTGGTCAACAAAATATTTCCTATCGTTGTCCTAAATGGAATCAAAATCAATGATCAATTGTTAATACATCATAATTTGAAGGCTGAAATAAGTTTGTGGAGCCAGTGACATGCAGTATAGTAGTTCAGATGTTATGTTGAGACTGGTTGTCACATAACTGGGTGATTCTAATCTGTCACACTCTCTCTGCCTAGTTTACCTCACTGAGGTGCTATAGGAAAAATCAGGGGAGACTCCCACATATAGCATCTGGACTTTCCAGAATATAAATATGTTGCCATTCTTAGGTGGATAATTATTATCTTTAAACAACTTATTATTACTTATTTATTTAACTTATATTGCTGCCTATTTGCCCATGGCGACTCAAGGTGGCTTACACAATGTAAAACCATATTTTTTTAAAAAAACCAAAAAATAAAAATAAAAACAATAAAAACTAACAAAAAGAATCAAATAAATTAGTAAAGTATAATAAAACAAAATTGGGGGGGGGGGAACCAACTCCCACCCCCTACCCCGATGACAGCAGATCACACTAGTCATTTGATGGATTCCATCCCTCTCTGGGTTCCCCAGGCCCAGGCAAAACCAGGTCTTCGGTGCCTTTCAGAAGAGTGCTAGAGTGGCGGCCATTCTAATCTCTGGGATAATGATATTCCAGAGAGAGGGAGACACCACGGAGAAGGCCCTCCTTCTGGGTCCCACCAGATGTATCTCCCTCAGGGGTGGGACCCGCAACATTCCCTGCCTCCCCGCTCTAATGGGTTGGGTAAATGTGACTGGCAAGAGACGTTCCCTCAGATAACCCAGTTATTTATGCTTAAAAGGGGAGGAAAAATAATGGACAATACTAGCTGTATTACTATGACACTTTATAAATTAAAGTTTTGATGATATTATCCATTCAGTCGAATCTGACTTTTGGCGATTCTTCGGGCCAGGTCTCTCCACATCTTCCGATCTTGTGCTATTTCTTTGAGTTTTTCTCTTCCAAGGATAATTACTTTCACCAGTGAATTCCCTTTCATGACATGGCCAAAGTGAGTGAGATGCAGTTTCCTGATTTTGTCTTAGTGTTTCCTTATTAGTCACTTTTTCTGTCCAAGAAATATACAGTAGCCTTCTCCAGCACCACAGCTAAAATGAGTCAATTTTCTTTCTGTTTTACTTTTTTAAGCTCCAATCTTCACAATAGAGCAAACTAGCCTACATTTGGTTGCCAGGTTGATGTCCTTGTTTTTCCATATTCAAATTAGTTTTAGGTAAGTAAATCACTACTAATGTAGCTTTGTTTTCTCATTATATCCAATGAGCTGCATGGCCCAATTGTGCCCTGTCATTGGGGAAATACACATTTATTTGGGTCTCCTTTCTTCTATCCTTCAAAAAATGACCCTATACTTGTGCTTCTATTTTCCAGTAACAGTCCCCAGATGACAATACATGCTTTGCTACACAAACATAAACAAAGTTCTAACAAGACCATGCAATTTAGGGTTTTAAGTAATTGCTGTGGGGCTGCTACATTTAGATTGCTATATTAGCTGGGTTGCTCTGAGCACACTGAGCTAATTCATTCCCAGACTCATAAATCAGAAAACTATAATTATTCCACTGTACACGCCTCTGAAATTTGTAATTCGGTTATCCGATAAAAATACAGATCTTTGCAAATGTGTCTTTAGTGGAACATGCATTTAAAATGTGTATTTTGGGATAAAAAATAATTAGGATCATATCTTTTTATTTTTCATTTGCAAAAACAGATGCTATAACTGTATAAAGGCATTCAACTTCACTTGACTCAAGGGAGAAGAGTGGATGGGCCCAGGGCTCATTTTGGGAGATAGATTCATAGGTATTAAGGGATAAATAGGGCGTACTGGGAACAGAAAACTAATACTGGCTGCCCCTAACCTACATATTTTGTATCTCCAAAAGCCTCTTACAACAATATGACTTTAACTAAGCAATTCTGTATTCTTCTGGAAGTCAGTCTCATTGAATTTAAGGAGATTTATTTACTTAGCATAAGTAATGCTTTGATCTTTGTCTCCCGATATGAATAAGAGAAAGATAGTGAGGCAAACTCACAATGCCATTCACATTCATTCATTCATTCATTCATTCTATGATAAGACAAATTGTGTAGCCAAAGGGACAAATATTGGGCCAACTATCTTTTGACCTAAGAACAAAGGTGGAAAAGTGAATCAGATACAATCTGAGCTATAATAAACCAATTATATTATAATTCATATAGGAACTATGGTTGATGATTCTTAAAATCTATGAATAAAAAGAATTTCTCTC